CTTTGTCCAGTCGGGTCTTGAAAACCTCCGAGGACAGGGCCAGCTCAGCCTTTCTGGGCAGCCTGCTCTGCTGCCTGGCTGTCTTCGTGGGGAGAAGGTTATATGCAGAGTACAGTCTTGTATCCAGTCTGAACCTCTCTTCTTTCAGCCTATGCCCGTTGTCACTTCTCTTCCCACCTCGCACTACCGTGAGGAGCCAGCCTGGCTCCACCTGCTCAATTATCCGTCACAGGTAGGTACTGTGGGGCTGCTGTTAGGTCCACCTGAAGCTGTCCCTCCTCATGGGGCGAGTGCTCCAGCCCCAACCACCTTGGTGGCTCTCTGCTGACCTCGCTTTACTTAATTGCTCTTTCTTGTGTCAGGCGGCCCAAAACTGGACCCCGCTCTCGATGTGGTCTAGTGCTTAGTGGAGGTGTGTAATCCCTTCCCTTGGTCAAGCTGTGCTTCTGTTCGTACAGCCCAGGGCACCCTTCGCTGCCTTTGCTGCTTGGGCACACAGCTGGCTCATGTTGAGCATGCTTCTCGGGTAGGAACCATTTGCCATGTCTACCTGCTGTAGCAGTTAAAGTATATTCAAACAAATCTTCAGTGCGATACGCGGTAGCATTGTAGAAATGTACTGTTTTAAGAATAAATTTGCATTTCTGTGCTATTGCTCTGCTGCAGGTTCCCTTACTGCTTCAGATTTGGTAATTAATACCGTAGTGTGAGTAGACCAATACAGTTCTAATAATAGCATCAGGATATCTTAATCACAGGTACAAGATACTAGCTATAAAAAAAGCACCATATTTAAAACAAACACACACTCCCCCCTGCTCTTTGTTACTTCTCCTTTAGCCCCTAGTGATATGCTTGAGGGTTCTTTTTAACCACTCTAAACCACTTACTTTTCTCCCCTGTGTCTTGCAATGGCTGAATGAACCCAACAACTCTAAAGCTAAGGCTCCCCAAAAGCTTTACTATATGATTGATTAAAAGGATCTGTTTATTGTGCGTGAACTTGCATCAGATTTTATAAACGACATGCCATTTAAAAAACATGATGGAATGTGCATATTCTCACTCCAGACCCTCCATTTAAGCTAATATATAGCTTCAATAGAAGTATTCATTACAGCAGCTTGAGTTTTACAGATTGTTTGCAACTGTAAAGGCTAAAATGAAGTAGTATCAAGGGCAAAAGAAAGTTAAGGATAGCTTAAGATAGTTTTCCCTCCTGTCACAAGAAACAGCCGCTTTGGGGTGACATCTAACCAAAGTTAAGAGCAACTACTCTGAAAGGATACGATACACTGTGATACACTCTTCTGGTAGGTTAAACATGCACAATATTTATTGCAAATATTCAATTCCAAAATTGCAAATTGTTAACAACCAATTTTGTACTGCTGTTAGACGCATGAACTGATAGATAAAATCTGAAGCAGATAAAATCTTGTTAAGCAGTGTCATGACTTTCTTGCAGCATTAATCTGCTGCTTGAGAAACTGCAAGCACAGATGAAAACTCTGCTTGAATATTCTCATGAAGTGAGCTAAAAAATAAATGCCAAAAGATAGGTTACCGTTTGGATTGTTAGCAGTGTTATCTTTTGAAGTGATTTTTGTAGCTTTAGCTGAAAAAAAACATTGAAAGCTTGCACTTGTTTCTGCCTTCATCGCTCCCCTCCGTTCTCACTGCTTCTGGGGGAGACATCCAGGATTTTTTTAATTAGAAGCAAAATATTCAACCAGTGACTCAAATCTAAGCATCGCTCAGATACCTCAGTATCCATTTCTCTTATAAAACTTGGCTCTTGCAACCACATCATTGGCGTAGTCATTGTGTGTTGTGCCAATATCCACTCTGTCATAGTTCTGGACGTTGTTAGGTCCCGCATTATAGGCTGAAATCCCACCTGAAATGAGAGTGAAAGAAACGCATAAACAGAGGTGATACTTTGTCAGTAAATAAGCAAACAAACAAAAATCACAACTTAAATTTGTTGCTTTAGTTTGCAGCTCTCTTTTCACCAGTACTGTATTGCCGTTTCCAGCTATTTTTGCCACTGAGGTGTTCCTCCTGTGTTTTAACTTTGTGGAGAAATCATAACCTCCTCCTTTGCATCCAGACTTGGTGACCGTTGTCCCCTTGCTGTATTTTGCTAATGTAACATCATCAGTTGTATGACTGATTCCTCTTCTGCATATTCCGTCATGTCTACCTGCGTTAATAACCTCCGACGTATTTGTACTGTAGCTGGAATAAAGGGATCCAGCCATGACGGCTTCAGCTGTCATCAGTGCTCAAGAATATAACCGTGTTTCCTTCAGAGAGGACCATACATTTTCAGAATTAATGTGCTCCTTCTTTGGAGTTGCCGGGATAGCAGCTTTTTGTAGGTGGCTATAGGAACACAAAACAAACGCAACGGAGAGAGGTGGGGAAAATCCCACCCTTACTCCTTGCAACTGAAAAATGTCGTGACATTTGCCAAGCTTTCCAAAAGCGTGCTAGAAAGCGAACCACATCTTATTCCTCTGTTCCTTTTAGTGAGTGTCAAGAAATATTGTTCCACACCTCAATAAAATGAACAGGGGGACTGGGATGTGTTTAGTTTTCTAACGTGCTCGGTTTTACAGCGTTATCGTGCTTGACTCTTATGTGTGAAGCGTTTTAAAGCTGACAAAATTCTACCTTTGAGCTGCTGTTCCTTTGTCCATGCTGGGAATTTCTTCTGGATTTCCCTTATCATCCCGCATAAAATCTCCGTGCCTTGTGCTAAGTGCTCTTCACTGTCCCATGACCCGACAATCTTATGGTAACGTTTGTCAACCTGGAAGCGAGACAGCAATGTCAGCACACCAGAAACCCCACCATTTGTCCAGAGCTCTTCATTGCTTACAGGCCGCTCGTATTCCTTTTGATCTTTAACCTCCTGGTTTACCTCTTTTGTAATTGTATAGAGAGGAAGCAAACTTAGCTCAAGGCGCAGGCAAAGCCAGCAGATGTGTGAATAGCAGACTATCGGGGCACTGAAGAGGAATGCCTGCCCTGCGTCCTTGTCTGCCAGAGCCTTAAAAATCCAACACAGCTGCTGCTGTAAAGGTGACAGGGTGCAGAAAGCAGGCTTACTGCTGCTTAAGCTTTTCCAGCTGCAATCTCCTCCTCCTCCTCCTCCTCCTCCACCTGTTATCCATGGGGTAGTAAAGCGCAAGTCTGAGGGGGCTGGAGCTGTTGCAAAAGCAGATCCCAATGCGTGCAGCAAATGTTTAGGGATTGTACGGATAAACGTACAACTTGGCAAACAAGTGAGGCGTGAATGTAGGCATGAATAATGAAGCAAGATCCCGCACTAGCCAGGCCCCTGAGGAGCATGAAGGGTAATTAACCTGACTGTATGTAGCTGCAGCCTACAGGCCTCCATGCTTAGTTAAAAAAAAAAAATGCTTCTTAAAACAAGGTTTATTATCTAAACTATGAAATAGGAACAATTAATCTCTTCATTCCCAAGAGAGCGCTGGGAAGCAAGCGGCAGTTTCACGGTGCAAACGCAGTCCGCTCATGCCCTGACACTCACCAGGGTCCTTCTGCGGTGCCAGGAGCTGACAGCCGGGTCAGCCTTGGCTTTATTCTGGCCAAAAAGTTGGCTGAAAAGGTCTAGGGGGTTGCGTTTCAACAGGGCCCCTGCTGCTTTTCTGACTTTCTGCTTCAAAAGAAGGATGAGGTTTGTGTTTTTAAGAAGGCTGACCGTACCTGCATTAAACCAAATGCATTTCCGTGGTCGCCCCAGCCATCCTTCAGCACTGTCCCGGCGTGTGACTCTCGAGAGATAATACCAGCAATCACAGCTGGATCAACGCACTTGCTGTTGCCAACTTTTGTAATCATGGCGTGGTATTTCTCCATGTTCTTCAAATCTCCTTCTGCAATCTTCTCCGAGGCAGAAACTCCTACACAACACAACGTGCATGACTTTTCCTTTCGTTTTTAAAATCAGAAACAAGTTGTTCTAACAGACAGCCATTATGAGTGAGCTGACATTTGGAATCCTTCTGAATCTATTTAGAGAGAAGCAATGATAGAACTGACCAATTTTGCTGAAGGGTAAGTGCCCTAGAAATCAATACACAGATGATATAAAAGACGTTTTTTCAAATACAGAGGGCAGTTCTCCAGTGTGCAGACTAAAAGGCGGGTCTTCTTGTTTTCAGTCTAAGCCTTTGGGTGGATTAGTCCCAGATTTAGTTCCTTTTAATAGAGGACTATAATGGGGAAGTGTTCAGAAACTTAGGTCATGAGGGAAACCCTCTTAAGGGAGAGAGAAAAGCAGGCTCGGTGGCAGGGCTCGGATGTACCCAGCAGACCTTGCATTTTCTCCGTGATGGGCTTGAACGTTCCTTAGAACATCTCAAAGGCAACTCTATTCCCAACATCATAAACTTATGTGCCCACGTAGGACCTTTGTTGCTTGTGGAAAATTTGCTCGCATGGCAATGGCTGATAGCCAAAGACCAGGATCTGTAATAGGCACGAGCTTGTGCATGGATGTAAGGGGAGATGAACAACTGAATTAGTGCCTACCTGCATAGCTCAGACCTTCCGGTTTCGCAGTTGCCTCCGAAGCTCCAGTTGTGTCAACATTCAGTATATTCCCATAACGCTCCAAACAGCCTAAGAGCAGTATTTACGACCAAACGTCAGACCAGCGCAGTGTGTGATGCACGCCATTAAAACGTTTTCAGATCCGTGACTGACACCCATAGCACCATTTCGATACTAGTACAGGCATTTATGCTAGCAGATGTGGTCGTGGTACCGTATGCTCTGGGAAGGATTACCTCTTGGTCATGCTAGCATAAAGCCACAGTGTAGCTTATGAGGTGAACTGGTGCTTTGTGCACAAGTCATCTCCCCTAATTTTAGCTTGCCTAAAGCTTAGCTGTCTAGTCTAAGCTTGTGACTTGGGCTGCCTGCATAGCCAATGGTGAAAGGCACCTCCAAAAGGTGTTTTTTCTATTCCCCCCCAAAAAAAATAATCTATGAAAGTCAAAAGAATTCCTACACTATTTGCTGTCTCCAGCTTGCTTTTCCATAGCTACCATCAACAGGAAAAATCTGAGAGAAACGTCCTTCAATTACATCCATTCCAATTTACCTGACTTGCAGTCTGTTTGACTTGCGATTTATCTGCATTTATCTGTTCCCTAAACATGCTGTTGCGGAAGGGAAAACATGCAAACAGCAGCTGAGAGGAGCGATGCTAACCCGAGCCCAGCAGTTAATGGAAAACAGAATTTAGTACAGTGAATTATTTACAAGAACATTAGACAAACATCACAGACCTGACATGTTTGCTGCAGGATGTCTCCCCACCTTCTTGCACACTTCCTAGAGACAAATGGGCTTTTTATCTGCTGGCGGTGTTTTGAAGCAGCTGACTCCGTGCACTTCCCGCACACCACTGGTATTACGGGAAACAGGAGTGCCTTTCCTGAAAGAGTGGTTAAACATTGGAACAGGCTGCCCAGGCAAGTGGCTGAGTCACCATCCCCGGAAGTATTTGAAAGGCGTGTAGATGGGACACGGTTTAGTGGGCATGGTGGTGTTGGGTTGACGGTTGGACTCGATGATCTTAGCGGTCTCTTCCAACCTTAACGATTCTAGGATTCTAACAACTTCTTGTGCGTCCACCCAAACACAACAGGGTTTCTGCTCTACGGCACAAACACAGCTACGATTTTAAAAATGAAATACCTTTTAATGTAATTTAAAACCCCGTTGCTAACAGTTTGGAACTAGGAGGAGCCTCGTCTGAAGACAACTGTCCCCCTTCAGTTGTTGAAAGTGCTGACAACGGGGAAACGGGAACCTGCGCTTTTGGATGTAATAAAGTTTTTGCAGGCAAAGACCCAGCAACAATAACATGACACAGAGCTGCAACCACTGAGAATTTGGATACGCAGAGAAAATGCCAGGTCCCTGTTGTTATCCCCTCTTGTACAGTGACAACAAAGGTGAAGGCACAAACCCAAATTAGCGGGCGGCGTGGATCAAAGCCACTGTAGCTGTTCAGCAGTAAGGAGAAAAGCCACTGGATGGCAGACCTGCCCACCACCGCTAATCCATCCAGACATGCATCTCCCCCGTGGTAAATTTTGTGAAGGTGAAATGCTGTTTCCTCTTTCGTCAACTCTTTCACATTTTAAGCCGGGGAATTAATCCTGTGTCATCATGTTGAAAGATACTCAATTCTGTAAATTTTTCCTGTACTGTTGATGCCTCTGTGAGAGACTGAAAGAGTTAATGTCTCAAGCATTGTAGTAAAACAAGTCACGGTCTGCATAGCAGCAACGAACCTTAAACGGGAGGTCAGATAGCTCAGGATGTGGAGGGTGTGCCGGAGAGTGCACAGTTCCATGTTCTGATGAGCCTGGCCTGACAACACACCACATAAGGCCAGAGGTCGTACAGAGGTCATTTGAGGAAGGGGCCCACGACCATCCCCCACAATGGCACCTGCACAAAGGATCAGGAGC